ACATTGTAGTTACTCCACAACACTAACCTAATTGACAGAGTGAAAAGAAGGAAGCCTGTACAGAATACAAATATTCCAAAACATGCATGCTGTTTGCAAAAGGCACTAAAGTAATGCTACAAAAAATGTGGCAAAACAATTAACTTTTTGTCCTGAATACAAAGTGTTATGGTTGGGGAGAATCCAATACAACACATTACTGAGGACCACTCACCATATTTTCAAGCATAGCTTTTCTAGCTGTGTTAATGTTGCTATTGTTGTAGAAAGCCCTTGTTAAGACTACCCAGATGGCCACAGCTAGATAACTAGCTAGCAAGATGACAAAGAAGCAATTTTATTCACTCCATAATCGCATACAGCCCATAGATACATTTTTAGCTAGCTGGCTAACGTTTGCTAAATTGTTAGCATGCTATGCTAGCTAAATAGCTGTTGTGCTAACTAGGTAAAGTAAAGACACTGCATTGACTCTCGGCAGCCAGCTACAGGCAGCTGCGTCATGGAAACAAATCTGTTGTGATTTATTAATAATGTTACAAGCTACAGTGGCCAGATACAGTGGCTTGCTAAAGTATTCACCCCCCTTGGCATTTTTCCTATTTTGTTGCCTTACAACCTGGAATTAAAATTGATATTTGGGGGGTTTGTATCATTTGATTTACACAACATGCCTACCACTTTGAAGATGCAAAATATTTTTTCTTGTGAAACAAACAAGCGCGTGCATGACTATTCACCCCCCCCCCCCAAAGTAAATACTTTGTAGAGCCACCTTTTGCAGCAATTACAGCTGCAAGTCTCTTGGGGTATGTCTCTATAGGCTTGGCACATCTAGCCATTGGGATTTTTGCCCATTCTTCAAGGCAAAACTGCTCCAGCTCCTTCAAGTTGGATGGGTTCTGCTGGTGTACAGCAATCTTTAAGTCATACCACAGATTCTCAATTGGATTGAGGTCTGTGCTTTGACTAGGCCATTCCAAGACATTTAAGTTTCCCCTTAAACCACTCAAGTGTTGCTTTAGCAGTATGCTTAGGGTCATTGTCCTGCTGGAATGTGAACTTCCGTCCCAGTTTCAAATCTCTGGAAGACTGAAACAGGTTTCCCTCAAGAATTTCCCTGTATTTAGCGCCATCCATCATTCCTTCAATTCTTACCACTTTCCCAGTCCCTGCCGATGAAAAACATCCCCACAGCATGATGGTGTTCTCGGGGTGATGAGAGGTGTTGGGTTTGCGCCAGACATAGCGTTTTCCTTGATGGCCAAAAAGCTCAATTTTAGTCTCAACTGACCAGAGTCCCTTCTGTCATATGTTTGGGGAGTCTCCCACATGCCTTTTGGCGAACACCAAACGTGTTTGCTCATTTTTTTCTTAAAACAATGGCTTTTTTTCTGGCCACTCTTCCGTAAAGTCCAGCTCTGTGGAGTGTACGGCTTAAAGTTGTCCAATGGACAGATACTCCAATCTCTGCTGTGGAGCTTTGCAGCTCCAGGGTTATTTATGGTCTCTTTGTTGCCTCTCAGATTAATGCCCTCCTTGCCTGGGCCGTGAGTTTTGGTGGGCAGCCCTCTCTTGGCAGGTTTGTTGTGGTGCCATATTCTTTCAATTTTTTAATAATGGATTTAATGGTGCTCCGTGGGATGTAACAAAGTTTCGGATATTATTTTATAACCCAACCCTGATCTGTACTTCTCCACAACTTTGTCCCTGACCTGCTCCTTGCTCTTCATGGTGCTGGTTGCTTGGTGGTGCCCCTTGCTTAGTGGTGTTTCAGACTCTGGGGCTTTTCAGAACAGGTGTATATATACTGAGGTCATGTGACACTTAGATTGCACACAGGTGGACTTTATTTAACTAATTATGTGACTTATGAAGGTAATTGGTTGCAACAGATCTTATTTAGGGGCTTCATAGCAAAGGGGGTGAATACAAATGCACGCACCACTTTTCCGTTATTAACTTTTTTGATTTTTTTGAAACAAATTGTTTTTTTCCTTTCACTTCACCAATTTTGACTATTTTGTGGATGTCCATTACATGAAATCCAAATAAAAATCAATTTAAATTACAGGTTGTAATGCAACAAAATAGGAAAAACGCCAAGGGGGATGAATACTTTTGCAAGGCACTGTAGCTAGCTTGGTTGGTTAGTGTTGTGTGCATTGTGCTACACTTACCACTCCATTGGTTTCATATGAAGTGTGTGTGACTGCCTTGCAAGCTAACATTAGCTAGTGCAAATTATCAAAAAATCTATCTTCAAGCACAAAACTCATTAGCTAGATGTAAAAGATGTAAAGACTTGTATTATGGAGCTTTATTGTTTTAGTTAGAACAATTTTAAAAAGGGGGTGGATTACACCAGGAGAAGAGCCCTCTGTTTTCCTTCTGTTGTCACTTCTGTCCCTCACGTGGAGGTTCATGCTCTCTGATTGGATCAAAGTCAAGTTGTCGACCACTGTCGAGCATTTCTATTCTACAAGTAGAAACTGTAATTTTTGTCGGTACCAGATCTGTACACAGCAGGTACGTCTTTTGTTCTAGCGAGAGGGAACGGCCTCCCACTGTGATAAGTACCTATCAGCAGCCTATCAGCAGTCAGATTCTCGGTGTGTTTCAAGCTTAAGGCTTTAATACTTCACCAGCTGTAACTTATTGTAACGAACCCTGCATTCTGAGTCGGTTCCTGTCTGTGTTGTCAGTTTTCTGCTCGGGATCTCCAGTATCCCGAGGGTTCTGGAACGCTCCCTGCTTGGTTGCCGGGCGACGTTGCTAGGCGGGAGCTCTCATGATTTACCGCACCTGCATCCCATCAGTAATCTGCACACCTGGTCCTGATCATCACCCTTTTTAGGCTCTGACCTGACATCCATTCCCTGCCGGATCGTTAGCCATGAACAGTATGTTTATCAGAGTATCAGCCTTAGAGCTTCTAGCGTTAGTTTTGTTGTTTTGCACCTTGTTGGCTTGTTGTGTACTTACCTCCGTTTTGTTCCATCTGCAGTCACTCGTCCGGAACCTTCACCCAACCTCTGCCTGGTGGTCGGCGGCTGCCGAGCCATTATTGGACCTACCACTGCACCCTCAACAACTCATCCACGCCGCCCGCTCTGTTCCCTGGATTATTCAGCATCACTCTTGAATCTGTTAAATAAACACTCACCTTCGTTTCAACTTACCTTGTCCTGGTCTGCTTCTGGGTTCTGGCTTTGTAACCCGTGACACTTATTGTCCTCATCATCAGGTGGTTTGTAAGAATGTTGTGTTGCAATGCAACCCATTAGACCCATTTTGTACTGTTTGAAAATAAAATATAGAAACTAGGGATGCAAAACCGACCGAAAACATGTATGACCTTTGACCCCCCAAGGTGGGCCCATAGATATGTCATTACCATACCAATTGTTTCATACGTTAATATGTCTTGTATTAGGAAGTTAATAACATTTCAAATTGCCTTCGTTTGAGGAGATTGTATAATACCTTCATTCCTGTTGACAAAACATATGTTGCGTTATTTTATGGCTGTTCATGACACCTACATAAGAGTGTCAAAACCCACAAAACCTACCACACAAGGCACAACATTCCATTACACCTACTTGTCAACAGTATGTTTATGTTATATAACATTTTCTGAAATTGACCATATTAAATTATCATTGTAATTGCACACACATTGATGTGAGCCGACCCCAATGCTCTGTTTCTGATGACTGGGATGAATGCAGGAGCAGATTTCAGGAGCAGGGCAAGACACACTCTTTTACACTGATGACTGATATAAGGGCATGTACGTGATGGTCATAATGCTTCTGGACAATGTCATAAAGTGCATTTTATACAAGTTATCTAAATTATTATGAAAAAAAAAACATGCCCGTTAAAAATGCATTACAACAACAACAAAGGACCTAAGAAACAAACTTTCAAACAAAAGGGAACTTCTTGGCAGGAAAAAATACATTTTAATATATGTGGGTTTTGACACTCTTATGTAGGTGTCATGACCAGCCATAAAATAGTGCAATATATGTCACAACAGGTCTAAATATATGGGTCAAGACAGTGTTATGACCATATTATGACAGGTTATGATAATTTGCCAGCTGTTATGACATATTATGACATGGCTTTGACCATGTCATAACATATTATGACGCTGGGTGTCAAGTAAAGTGTTACCAATCATCAATAGACTAGATGTGACTGGTTATCAACTGAAACATTGTAATAATATTCCCCATGAACTAGATGTGACTGGTTATCAACTGAAACATTGTAATAATATTCCCCATGAACTAGATGTGACTGGTTATCAACTGAAACTGTCACTACTTCCACCGAGGCTGCCTCATCTCCTGGTTCGGGCAGGCTTCGGCGTTCGTCGTCACCGGCCTTCTAGCCACTGCCGCTCCTCATCTCATCATTCCATTTGTCTTGTCTTGTCAATTACACACACCTGGTTCTTATCTCCTCATTAGTCTGTGTATAAGTGTTCCCTCTGCCCCCTTGTCCTTGTGGGTGATTGTTATTTGTGAGAGTACTGTAGCTCGGTGGAGCTACTCGCTCTTTGTATTGCCGGGGTAGATATTTACCCTGTACCTGTATATTGTTGGAGTATCCCGTACCGTGTATTGCCAGGGTAGAGAGTTTCCCCTTTGAGGGGGGTGGAGACCATAGTATTGAACATGTTTATGCTGCTCAAGTCTCTCTGAAATTAAAGGCATCATTTTCTTGTTTAACAAGTTTTACAAGTGTACACTAACGTTTCATTGCTATCTGTACCATCTTGGCAGACAAAACCACAGACTATGTGAAACAACAGGATCGCGCTGCAACTGAGGAATGCTTAGCAGAGGTGTAACCAGACTAGTAGAGGTGTACCAGGAACTAACATCATCAGTCTGTTCATCTGAGGAGAGGAAAGTAGACAGGACGGTAGTCAGGGGACGCTGTAGAAACTCTGATACTGACAGGTTATAATAAGGTGAAACATGGAGCGCTTAATGCCAGGATTTGACGTTCTGATCTCACAAGTGAGAAAAACAGCCAGTTTTTACGTGACCACCATTGCTCTTTTTATTTACCACGTTGTGTTTGATGAAAACTTGAAATGCTTATGTAAAAATGGTGTTAAACCAGAGGTTACTTATGACCATTGTACCTTCTATATGGTGTTGCCAGCTCTGATCTTGTTTCTCTTGACTCTCTGGATGGATGGACAGTTTCAACGTATCTTGAGAATTACATGCAGATGCAGATGCAGATGTAATTTGTGGGGAAGACTGTTGGCAATCCTCATTAAGGCGGCTGCTATAGGGTTGCTGTGGGTTGTGTCTGTACTCCTTGATGGGGACTGGTACGTGTGCATTCAAAGAGCAACGCTTCCCTGCCAGAACAACGCTGATACCACACCCTACCAAGAGGAACTAGAAAAGCAACTCGAAACACATTTCAAAAGGGAGTCCATGGTGAGTACCTTTCATTATTTACTTGTTATTGATTATTGAAAGTCTCCAGAGTATTGAGGGGGGGACCAGATTATTGAGGGGGGGGGGGGGGGGGGTGGAGACCAGAGTATTGAGGGGGGTGGAGACCATAGTATTGAGGGGGGTGGAGACCATAGTATTGAGGAGGCGTGGAGCCCAGAGTAATGAGGGGGGGAGTATTGTTTGGAATACATATTAGATTACCTTTAACATGAAAACACATTTTTTTTCAGGTTTATGGCTTGTCACTGGTTCTGGTTCTGCTTTTTGCAACTTCTATTCTGACTGCAATACCTTGGAGGGATATCTGTTCTATTCTGACTGCAATACCTTGGAGGGATATCTGTTCTATTCTGACTGCAATACCTTGGAGGTATATCTGTTCTAATCTGACTACAATACATTGGAGGTATATCTGTTCTATTCTGTGGTCAAAGTGCAGTAACTATTGCAGGATGGACTGTAAAATCAAACCTTATCACAGGGCACTGTTTGAGGAGAATATTAGGGAACAGACAGAAATTCTTATTGAAAACGACTTAAAGACAACAGCTAAGGAGTGTGTAGTTCTTATAAGCAGAAAACTACTACAGCCCTCTTCGACTGCAGTCCCTTCAGACACCACCACACAGGGAGGAGGCGGGGCAAGCAGCAGCACCACCCGTCCTGAGGTGGAAGATAGAGTGATCACCTTTGATTTTGTCAAGATAGCTGATCTACATTCTCATATAATCAGCTCTTTGTTCCCTGAATCGTCCAAAGAACAAACAAATTCAAGGAACGATAACCAATGAAGTGACCAGATGCCACTATTTGTTTTGGGACAAGATATCTGATCTACATTCTGATATAATCAGCTCTTTGTTCCCTGTACCGTCCAGTTCTGCAGCCCCTGCAACCCCCCCCACAGCCCACACAGAGAGAAGACGGGCCAAGCAGCAACAGAATCGTTTAGGGATCAACAACGGAAACCAGAAAATAACAAACAAATTCAAGGAACAATAACCAAAGAAGTGGCCAGATGCCACTCCCTGAGGAAGGCCCTCAACCCTAACTGTGGTTTAACATTGGTAAATGGTATAATATTGATTTTTGAATTAAATGTGTGAAATGTCACATATTTGGTTATAATATGTAAAATATCACAATTAATATGTAAACTAGACATTAATACTATCATACACTGTATGTGAACCGTTCTTGAAAACTGTGGCTTTCAAGTGAAATACAAAAATAAATAGTGAGTAGTGACCCTGTGTTTATAAGGCTACTTATCTCTCACAATAAACTGTGTTTCTGGTTAAGGAGACAGACATTTTTTTATTTTACCTTTATTTAACTATGCAAGTCAATTAAGAACAAATTCTTATTTGCAATGACTGCCTACCCCGGCCTCCCCTAACAACGCTGGGCCAATTGTGCGCCGCCCTATGGGACTCCCGATCACGCCCGGGATTGAACCAGGGTCTGTAGTGATGCCTCTAGCACTGAGATGCAGTGCCTTAGACCGCTGTGCCACTCAGTAGCCTAATAGTTTTGTACAATACAACTAGTATGGGTTATATGAAAGGGAGTGAACAACTGTGGGTGATAAACCTCAACAACTACCCTGTATAAGCTTGCATAATTTCACAGGGTAGAAATGTGAGCCGGGTGGCAAACTTGAGACTGTTAGACCACAGTGATGGCTGAGAGAGCTGTTCTAAACAATCTTTATTTTCCAAACTATAACCAATGTAACCTTGATTAATGCATATGTGTTAATATAACCAGTGAATTATATGTTTTATCCTTGATACTAAAATTCATATTTTGTTGCTGTTGATTATATTCTGTCTTTATGTCTACCTTTAAAGAACAATAAAAACAATTATAATAATACTAACACTCTTTATCACCTCCTGTCTTCAATGTACCACAGCTGTGGTGTTCACTTTGCAATACTATACATGTTTATGCTGTTCATTTTGAAGAGTCTCTAAAATAAAAATAATAGTTTTCTTTTTACATATACAGCCTTGATTTATCAATTAATGACTGAATACATTTGTATGATAATGGACCAAAATCAACACTGCCAGACAACCAAAATCAACTACCAATGCTCGGGGTGATATTGTATTGGTAAATTGGGTCCTGCACTTCATTTAGTAATTTCCTATAGGCCAAGCTAGGCATTTTTAGGGGATCCACATGTAGTCATTTATCAGGATATTGCCAAAACCTTATTCAGTGGACCTAGGCCTTTTCAGTGGATCCACATGTAGAGAATGGTGTAACAATGGTCAGAATTCTGTGACATTTCAGAATAGAAGGCTCTGATTGGCTCTGATCAACCAGTTGGCTGTTTGTGACATCATCAACACCAAACACTAGTTGTATCTGTCACGTTCGTTCATAGACGGGTCAGACCAAGGCGCAGCGTGATATGCATACATGTTTATTAAAATTTAATAAACAACGACAAAACAATAAACCAAGAAAACGTGACGTCCAAAGGTAACACACAACAAACCTCACACGGAACAAGATCCCACAACACCTAATTGCCAATAGGCTGCCTAAGTATGCTCCCCAATCAGAGACAACGAGCGACAGCTGCCTCTGATTGGGAAACACACCCGGACAAACATAGAACTACAAAACCTAGATCACAAACATAGAAAATACCACATAGAAAATCACACCCTGACTCAACAATTTTTATTTTTTTTTATTTTATTTCACCTTTATTTAACCAGGTAAGCCAGTTGAGAACAAGTTCTCATTTACAACTGCGACCTGGCCAAGATAAAGCAAAGCAGTGCGATAAAAACAACAACACAGAGTTACATATGGGGTAAAAAAACTTAAAGTCAAAAAATACAACAGAAAATATATATACAGTGTGTGCAAATGTAGCAAGTTATGGAGGTAAGGCAATAAATAGGCTAAAGTGCAAAATGATTACAATTAGAATTAACACTGGAATGCTAGATGTGCAAGAGATGATGTGCAAATAGAGATACTGGGGTGCAAAAGAGCAAAATAAATAACAATATAGGGATGAGGTAGTTGGGTGGGCTAATTTCAGATGGGCTGTGTACAGGTGCAGTTATCGGTAAGGTGCTCTGACAACTGATGCTTAAAGTTAGTGAGGGAGATAAGAGTCTCCAGCTTCAGAGATTTTTGCAATTCGTTCCAGTCATTGGCAGCAGAGAACTGGAAGGAATGGCGGCCAAAGGAGGTGTTGGCTTGGGGAATGACCAGTGAGATATACCTGCTGGAGCACAGACTATGGGTGGGTGCTGCTATGGTGACCAATGAGCTAAGATAAGGCAGGGATTTGCCTAGCAGTGATTTATAGATGGCCTGGAGCCAGTGGGTTTGACGACAAACATGTAGTGAGGACCAGCCAACAAGTGCGTACAGGTCACAGTGGTGGGTAGTGTATGGGGCTTTGGAGACAAAACGGATGGCACTGTGATAGACTACATCCAATTTGCTGAGTAGAGTGTTGGAGGCTATTTTGTAAATGACATCGCCGAAGTCAAGGATCGGTAGGATAGTCAGTTTTACGAGGGCATGTTTGGCAGCATGAGAGAAGGAGGCTTTGTTGCAAAATAGGAAGCCGATTCTAGATTTAACTTTGGATTGGAGATTCTTAATGTGAGTCTGGAAGGAGAGTTTACAGTCTAACCAGACACCTAGGTATTTGTAGTTGTCCACATACTCTAGGTCAGACCCGTCGAAAGTGGTGATTCTAGTCGGGTGGGCGGGTGCCAGCAGCGTTCGATTGAAGAGCATGCATTTAGTTTTACTAGTGTTTAAGAGCAGTTGGAGGCTACTGAAGGAGTGTTGTATGGCATTGAAGCTCGTTTGGAGGTTTGTTAACACAGTGTCCAAAATGGTGTCGTCTGCGTAGAGGTGGATCTGAGAGTCACCAGCAGCAAGAGCGACATCATTGATATACACGGAGAAAAGAGTCGGCCCAAGAATTGAACCCTGTGGCACCCCCATAGAGACTGCCATAGGTCCAGACAACAGGCCCTCCGATTTGACACACTGAACTCTATCTGAGAAGTAGTTGGTGAACCAGGCGAGGCAGTCATTTGAGAAACCAAGGCTATTTAGTCTGCCAATAAGAATGCGGTGGTTGACAGAGTCGAAAGCCTTGGCCAGGTCGATGAAGACGGCTGCACAGTACTGTCTATTATCGATCGCGGTTATAATATCGTTTAGGACCTTGAGCGTGGCTGAAGTGCACCCATGACCAGCTCGGAAACAGGATTGCATAGCGGAGATGGTACGGTGGGATTCGAAATGGTCGGTGATCTGTTTGTTAACTTGGCTTTCAAATACTTTCGAAAGGCAGGGCAGGATGGATATAGGTCTGTAACAGTTTGGATCTAGAGTGTCACCCCCTTTGAAGAGGGGGATGACCGCGGCAGCTTTCCAATCTCTGGGGATCTCAGACGTTACGAAAGAGAGGTTGAACAGACTAGTAATAGGGGTTGCGACAATTTCGGCGGCTAGTTTTAGAAAGAAAGGGTCCAGATTGTCTAGCCCAGCTGATTTGTAGGGGTCCAGATTTTGCAGCTCTTTCAGAACATCAGCTGTCTGAATTTGTGTGAAGGAGAAGCGGGGGGGGTGTGGGCAAGTTGCAGCGGAGGGTGCAGAGTTGGTGGCCGGGGTAGTGGTAGCCAGGTGGAAAGCATGGCCAGCCATAGCAAAATGCTTGTTGAAATTCTCGATTATTGTAGATTTATCGGTGGTGATAGTGTTTCCTAGCCTCAGTGCAGTGGGCAGCTGGAAGGAAGTGCTCTTATTCTCCATGGACTTTACAGTGTCCCAAAACTTTTTGGAGTTAGTGTTACAGGATGCAAATTTCTGTTTGAAAAAGTTAGCCTTTGCTTTCCTGACTGCTTGTGTATATTGGTTCCTAACTTCCCTGAAAAGTTGCATATCGCGGGGGCTATTTGATGCTAATGCAGTACGCCACAGGATGTTTTTGTGCTGGTCAAGGGCAGTCAAGTCTGAGGAGAACCAGGGGCTATATCTGTTCTTAGTTCTGTATTTTTTGAATGGGGCATGTTTATTTAAGATTGAGAGGAAATTACTTTTAAAGAACAACCAGGCATCCTCTTCTGACGGAATGAGATCTATATCCATCCAGGATACCTGGGCCAGGTCAATTAGGAAAGCCTGCTCGCTAAAGTGTTTTAGGGATCGTTTGACAGTGATGAGGGGTGGTCGTTTGACCGCGGACCCGTTACGGACGCAGGCAATAAGGCAGTGATTGCTGAGATCCTGGTTGAAGACAGCGGAGGTGTATTTAGAGGGTAAGTTAGTCAGGATGATATCTATGAGGGTACCCATGTTTACGGATTTAGGGTTGTACCTGGTAGGTTCGTTGATAATTTGCGTGAGATTGAGGGCATCTAGTTTGGATTGTAGGATGGCCGGGGTATTAAGCATATCCCAATTTAGGTCACCAAGCAATACGAACTCTGAGGATAAATGGGGGGCAATCAATTCACATATGGTGTCCAGGGTACAGCTGGGGGCTGAGGGGGGTCTGTAGCAAGCGGCAACAGTGAGAGACTTATTTCTGGAAAGGTGGATTTTTAGAAGTAGAAGCTCAAACTGTTTGGGCACAGACCTGGATAGTATGATAGAGCTCTGCAGGCTATCTCTACAGTAGATTGCAACTCCACCCCCTTTGGCAGTTCTATCTAGACGGAAAATGTTATAGTTGGGGATGGAAATTTTAGAATTTTTGGTGGCCTTCCTAAACCAGGATTCAGACACTGCT